GGTATATAATACCAACAAGATGAAATTAAGACACATGCGCAACACCCAGGCATCCCTATCGTAGACGTTTCGCCATCCAGCCAGCCACTGGATGGCAAAACGTCCACAACAAAGACAACAAGATGCCGCACATGTGTCTTAATTTCATCATCATCATCAGCAGCAGCAAAAGAAGAAGAAGAAGAAGAAGAAGAAGAAGAAGAAGAAGAAGAAGAAGCAGCAGCAGCAGCAGCAGCAGCAGCAGCAGCAGCAGCAGCAGCAGCAGCAGCAGCAGCAGCAGCAGCAGCAGCAGCAGCAGCAGCAGCAGCAGCAGCAGCAGCAGCAGCAGCAGCAGCAGCAGCAGCAGCAGCAGCAGCAGCAGCAGCAGCAGCAGCAGCAGCAGCAGCAGCAGCAGCAGCAGCAGCAGCAGCAGCAGCAGCAGCAGCAGCAGCAGCAGCAGCAGCAGCAGCAGCAGCAGCAGCAGCAGCAGCAGCAGCAGCAGCAGCAGCAGCAGCAGCAGCAGCAGCAGCAGCAGCAGCAGCAGCAGCAGCAGCAGCAGCAGCAGCAGCAGCAGCAGCAGCAGCAGCAGCAGCAGCAGCAGCAGCAGCAGCAGCAGCAGCAGCAGCAGCAGCAGCAGCAGCAGCAGCAGCAGCAGCAGCAGCAGCAGCAGCAGCAGCAGCAGCAGCAGCAGCAGCAGCAGCAGCAGCAGCAGCAGCAAGCAGCAGCAGCAGCAGCAGCAACAGCAGAGAGCGAGCCGCAGCAAGCAAGCAGGCAGGGAGCACATGCAAAAGAGGGCGAGAGCCACGGAGGGGAGCATGACAAGAGAGTAGATGCCCATGAGGGAGACAGCACACAAGGTGTATGAAAGGGAAGTGGAAATAGAAGAACAGAACACAGAAGAGAGGAAAGACAAGTCCTGGCTTCGTCTCTGTAGATGCCTTCCCCCCACTACATTGTAAAATGCTCCAAACTTCACAACACCCGTGACTTAACCTAACTCCTTATTTTTTTTTCTTTTTCGTCTTCTCCCTCTTCCCCTTTCCTCTTTCCTTTTCTCCTCTGGGTTGTCTTTCTCTCTTCTGTCTCGTGCTTCTGTTCCTTCTTCATTTATTTCCCACTTCCCCTTTCATGCACCTCTGTGCGCTTGCTCTCCCTCTGTGGGCATCTAGCTCTCTTGCAGTGCTCCCCTTCCTTTGTTTTTGACTGGCTCGTCCTCCTTATTTCCTACTTCTACCACTACTACTACCTCTACTACTACTACTACTACAACTACTGATGAAATTAAGACACATGTGCGGCATCTGGTTGTCTTTGTTGTGAACGTTTTGCCATCCAGTGGCTGGCTGGATGGCGAAACGTCTACGATAGGGATGCCCGGGTGTTGCGCATGTGTCTTAATTTCATCTTGTCGGTATTACATACCATTCTTGTACTACTACTACCACCATCACCTCTTCCTGCCTATATATATAGCCGTCCTACTCCACCTCTGGTTAGTGTGACTTTGTCAATGGTCCAAGTCGGACCGAAACGTCGTCGTAAGCTTCTCTCTATTATGTGCGGGTTATTTGCGTATCGTTCCAGTCACGGTATTGTGCCTTTTTTGTTATTTAAGAAAGGCAATATCTGGAATAGATAATGCCCGAGAAGGAGACAGATATAAAGAACAGAGCGTATACCTCCTATGCAAATGGATTCGGGCTGCTGTGTAATGCAGCGAAGTATGAACAAATAGCTGATGGTACGGAATATCAGTGCGTAGAAGAAGGGCACTTTCATTAAAGGTCCCATCAGGAAAAGGATCTGAAGAATATAATAAATTATAGCCTGAGATGGGATAGATAACAGCAGAGTGTAATTTTGGTTCCTGTAAGCAAACACCAACAGGGGAAAACTGGGAGAGTAACATCTGAAGCTCACCCCGATTACCCCTGAGGCCGCATATATTCCACTGTAAATAAGCTATGATTGGCAATGATAAAGATACCTGAAATCTGCAGGTAAGGGTTCCTACGGACTAGAGGGGTTAGAAAAGTCCACATGCGGAGGCAGCGGAAAACATTCAAGCAGCGAAGGAATGGTGCACTGTGAAGAAAGGAGTTGCGCAGATGGAGGAGAGGAGAGAGAAGGAACAGAGGGTGGATCATTGCTCATTGATGGTTTGGTCTATGCAATATATTCAGAGATTGCTTCAAGTGTTTCGGAATTCAGAGACATAGTATGGGAGACAATATTGGGGGAGGATGAGTAAAGATTGGAACTGTAATGGACTGTACCAAGGTAGGGGGGGCAAAAGGGTGGAGAGAACTGGAGAAACGTGGAAGGGGACAGAAGAGGCAGAAACCTGGGTGACAGAAGAGAAAGAAACTTGGGAGGGAACAGGGGAGGAAGGTACAGTACGAGGAGGAGGGTGAACCTCTACACTTGTTACAGAGCCAGTGAGAGGGGAAGAACCAGGTACAGAGACAAGGAAGGTAAAATGAGGAGGTGGAAGAAGGGAAGGAGGGGTTAATTAAAGGACCTTTTTTTGACTTCTGAGAAGTAGAGGGATGATTGGGAGGTCTCGTACGAGATCTCGTTGATACTGAGGCTTATGAGGGAGAACATGAAGAAGAGAGAACAGACCGAGGCGTTGAAGTAGGGACGTCTGAGCCTAGGACAGCAAAAGAATTAGATACAGGAGTGACTATGGGAGAGGTAACCACAGTGGAGGCTGCAGAAGATGGAACCCAGAAGTGGGGGGACGTTTTGAAACATGGGAATGAGAAACACAAGGTAGTCTCCCTTGGAGGCGGAGATGAGAAACTACCATGGCATAAGGGAGACCTTCTGCCTCTTTGAGGTAATGGATTTCCCGCTCATTTAAGTAGACTTGGCAATGGCGAGAATACGAAGCGTGAGCCTCATGACAATTAAGGCAAGAGGGAGGTCGACTGCAAGACGTATTAGAATGGTCGTCGGCACCACAGACTGGGCATTCAGCTATAGATCTGCAATATTTCGCTGGATGGCCAAATCGCCAGCAATTTCTACACTGTTGCGGTGTAGGGATCACCTTTCGAACTTGTAACCGATGTCCTGCTACATAAACTGAGGATGGAAGTTCAAGGCTGTCAAAAGTTAAACGAGCCACATTGCTAGGATATAGTCCTCCGCCCGCGGGCAGGAAGAACATAAGTGTCTACCTTGAGGATTGGGGGATCTTAGAGTTCCAGCTGTTCAAGAATGTCATTGCCACATGTCTGGAAATTTTGTTGAACTATGGTATGGGGCAGAATGACGGTACCACTACAAGAATTGAGGGAATGATGTTTTTCAATAGTGACAGGAACAGTATCGATAAGGAAAGAAGAGAAAGATCATGAGCTTTGGTAGCATTCTGTACAGTGATGATGCGAGTACCGCTCTTAAGAGCATGAAAAGAAATATCTTTACCAACATGGCGAAGGAGTGCCTTGCCAATACTGTGGTCGGAAAGATAGGCAATAGAGGAAGTCGTTGTAAAGTGAAGAATTTAGTCCATTGTGCATTCTGAAACTGAGCATGGAAAGGGAGTGCAGGACATGTCGATCTTTTCTGAGAAGAACGAGAAGGTGGAGAAGTATCATCATCAGGTAATTGTCGTTGGCATTTAGGAGTGGGACCGGAGTTGGTCTGACGTGGAATGGGCCGGCGATTCGAAAATTGCCGTACCGAAGAGGGAGAGGCCGGAAGCATAGTCAAAAAAGAGCAAAGGTCAGATAAATCGAAGGAGTCAGTCGAGACTCAGTACCTGAAGCGGGTGAGGAAACAGCACCAGCAAGAGGTACAAAGGCATTAGGAGTGTCCGAAGAGTGGTCCAAAGATGAGGCGGGGTCAGAACGGGGTGCGGTATCAAGTAGGAGCCCAGGGGTAGCAGGTTCATGGACTACGGCTTCCATGGTTAGGTTACTTCTTTCTTTTTGTTTTTAAGAAAAAAAAAAGAAAACAAAAAATAAAAACAAAAAAAAAGAAATAAAAAAATTGGGAACAGAGAGGAATAGTTCCTAGGAGGAATGAAAGGGCTGGAAATCACACCACAAGTAGTGCAGATGCGGCATGGAACCGGTGCCATACCCTACCCTTCATGCCAGTTAACCAGCAATCCAGGATAGCAACCTCACATCTGCTGAGCTACCTAGGTGGACAAAAGAGAGGGCGGCCGGATATCCGCCACAAAACATACCTCCTTTGGCCACCACCCCTGGAATCCAAAAGGTGGCCTCCAGAGATACACCCGTCGCCCAAAAGACACCCAAAGCCACCCCCCGGAAGACCGGAGAGGGAACGGGATATCCCTAGGTGACCCAGATTCCACGGCAAACTACACCACCGCCAAGAACCTCAATGGAATGGGATTGACCCCGGTACCCTTCCCCCTACCTAGGAACCAGTAGGCCTGTGGGAAGAATCCCAAAGGCCAAAAAGAGGAAGGGAATAAGGGAGGGACGGGGGGGAGAAGGAGGAAAGGAAAAAGGGAGGATGAGGAGGATGGGGTAGGGAAGAGGGGATTGGTGGGTAATTAGGTTCGATCTGAGGAAGGAGACCAACAGGTCTAATTCCTCAGACCAAGAGCCTCTTCACCACGCCAAGGAGCCCCACTTGAAAAGGACAATATTGTAGATGAATGGTTCACAGAACCGACACGTTGATAAATTAGACACATGTGCAACTCTTGGGTATCTTTATTAAGGAAATGTTTTGCCACACAGTGGCTTCATCAGTCCATACAAAGGAAAATCTTGAAGAACAGGAGTAGAATGAGGTAATCAGTCCCTCAACCTTGAGTTGATGTGGTCAGTCCATCAATCTATTCAAGATTGGACTGACCACATCGACTCAAGGGTGAGGGACTGATTACCTCATTCTACTCCTGTTCTTCAAGATTCTCCTTTGTATGGACTGATGAAGCCACTGTGTGGCAAAACGTTTCCTTAATAAAGATACCCAAGAGTTGCACATGTGTCTAATTTATCAAAAGGACAATAAATCATAGCCTGAGATGGGATGGATAACAGCGGAGTGCAATTTTGGATCTTATAAGCAAACACCAACAGGGGAAAACCACTGATAAAGCCACTGTGTGGCGAAATGTTTCCTCAATAAAGATACCCAAGAGTTGCATATGTGTCTAATTTATCGTGTCAGTTCTTTGAACCATTCATCTACAGGGGAAAACCAGGAGAGCAACATCTGAAGCTCACCCCGATTACCTCTGAGGCTGCAGATATTCCACTGTAAATAGGCCATGATTGGTAACGAGAAAAATACAAGAAATTTGCGAGAAAGGGTATCTATAGAATAGAGGGGTTAAAAAAGTCCACACATGGTGGCAGCGGAAAACATTCAAGCAGCGAAGGAATGGGACACTGTGAAGACAGGAGTTGTGCAGATGGAGGAGAGGGAAAAGGAGGAACAGGAGGTGGATCAATGTCCATTGATGGTCTAGTCTGTTCAGTATATTCTGAGATAGTTTCAAGTATTTCGGAAGACAAAGAAGTTGTATGGGAGACAATATTGGAGATGGAAGGAGCAGTGTGAGTAAAGATTGGGACAACAATGGACTGTAAAGGGAACTGGAGAAGATGGGTGGGAAGGGACAGAAGAGGAAATAACCTGGGAGGGGGAAGAAGAGGAAGAAACTTGGGAGGGGACAGGGGAGGAAGGTACAGTACAAAGAGGGTGAACCTCCACACTTGTAACAAAGCCAGTGAGAGGTGAAGAACCAGGTACAAAGACTTGAAAGGTAAAATGTGGAGGTAGAAGAAGGAAAGGATGGGTTAACCCCTTGACTGTTGCAACCCAAATCCTGAGGTGTCTCCTGGTGTCGCAAAATTTAAAAAAAAAAAAAATTTTTTCTTATGAAATGATCGAGAATCTTTTCTCGATTGTAATGACACCAAAAGAACAAAATTTGATGGAAAACTGATGGAATTATGCTCTCACAAAGTTAGTGACCTCAGTGATATTTATGAAACGGCGATTTTGCCCACATTGAGCCCTATTTTCGGCTAATTCCATTGTTCCAGTCGGCCAAACTCATAGCTATTTCTTTAGAACTTCATTTTATTCTATTGATTGAGTACAAGGAACTGCCCATTTACTGATTTCAACTACCCAATAACATGGTCAGAAATTTGCAATTTGGCCAATTTCACGAAAATTAAAAAATATGACAATTTCAAAATAGGGTCCAGAATGAACAATTCAGACATTCCTGGCTCTAAAAGAACATTTTCTTTGTTAATCAGTCACATCTCCAGGCCCCTCTGATATTACTCTTGCTTTCTATTTTGAATTTTTATTCAAACAAAAAATACAGTTATGCAGACTACTGCAATATTGTAATAATTGTATAAATAACGTCAACCCATTCATGACTGCATATCAGAATGGCTAGTTGGACATTTATTGGAAAATGACATCATTTTTTTTACTTTTGAACAATGGCAATCTCAAACATTTCCCCTACTTTGAGCTCCATTTCAAGGTTCTTTTAATAGTAAAACCAATCAAAATCACCTCTATTTCTATAATATGTTTTCCATTCTATCAAATGAGACCAAGAAAACGACCATAAAACAAGAAAACAACCATAAAACAAGAAAACCATAAATACTATAAACAAGAAAACAACCATAAATACTATAAACAAGAAAACAACCATAAATACTATTTGAAAATAGACCACAAAGTCAGCATTTTAATTAAAAAAATGGTCGGAGTTTTTTTTCTCATTATGCACTGCATGCTGCAGGATTTTTTTATATGGTGCACACTGACCACACAGACCCATTCTTTCACATGTGAGCATACCAGCTTTCTCCTGCTTGATGTGAAGCAGCTAGAATTTATGAGTATATATACGTCAAAAACGGTGGCTCATAAGATGTATATATACAACCAAAACAGTCAAAGGGATAAAGGAGATTTGAGCAATGGGGATGTTTTGGGCTTCTGAGAAGTAGAGGGGTAATAGGGAGGAGGTGTGGTACAAGGTCTTGTCAATACCGGAACTTGTGAGGGAGAACATGAAGAAGTGAGAACAGACTGAGGTGTTGAGGTAGGGACTTCTGAGTCCAGGACAGTAAAAGAATTAGAGACAGGAGTGACTATGGAAGGGGTAACCACAGAGGCTGCAGAAGATGGGACCCCAGAGGTGGGGGGACGTTTAGAAACATGAGAATCAGAAATACGGGGTAGTCTCCCTTGGAGGTGTAGATGAGAAACTGCCATAGGATTTCTCGCTCATTTAAGTAAGCTTGGCAATGGCAAGAGTAAGATGGGTGAGCCTCATGACAATTAAAGCAAGAGAGAGGTAGACTACAAAACGTATTGGAATGGTCATCGGCACCACAGACTGGGTATTCGACTATAGACCTGCAACATTTCGCTGGATGACCAAAGCGCCAGCAATTTCTACCCTGTTGCAGTGTAGGGATCATCTTTTGAACTTGTAAATGATGTCCCACTATATAAACAGAGGATGGGAGTTCACGGTAGTTGAAAGTTCATCGAGCTACATTTCAACTGTATTGTCTCCGCCCACAGGCAGGGAAGACATAAGTGTCTACTTTGAGAATTGGGAGGTCTTGGAGTTCCAGCTGTTCTAGAAGTGAAAGGTCATGAGCTTGGTTATCATTCTGGACAGTGATGATGCATGTACTCCTCTTGAGAGCATGAAAGGATACATCTCTACCAACATGGCATAGGAGTGCCTTGCCAATACTATGGTCAGAAAGATAGGCAGTAGAGGAAGTTGGTCGTAAAGTAAAGAATTTAGTCCACTGTGCATTCCGAAACTGAGCGTGGAAAGGGAGTGTGTGACATGCCGGTCTTGTCTGAGTAGAACGAGAAGGAAGCAAAGAAGTATCATCAGGCAACTGTCATGGGCGTTTAGGAGTGGGACTGAAGTTGGTCTGACATGGGACAGGTTGGTGATTCGGAAACTGCCATACCATAGAGGGAGAGGCCGGAAGCAGAGGTCAGAAGTATCGAAGGAGTCAGTCGAAACCCCGTTACCTAAAGCGGGTGATGAAACAGCACCAGCAAGAGGTATAGAAGCATTAGAAGTGTTCGAAGAGTGGTCAAAAAATGAGGCAGGGTCAGAATGGGGTGCGGTATCAAGAAGGGGCCCAGGGGGAGCAAGTTCATAGATTGGGGACTCCATGGTTAGATCACTTCTTTCTGTTTGCTTTATAGAAAAAAAAAGCGGAGGGGAAACATGGAGGAATAGTTCCCAGGAGGCAAAAAAGGGCTGTAAATCCCCCTCCATGCCCAAGAGGACCTCAGCACTGCAAGTAATGCAAATGCGGCATGGAACCCATGCCATACCCTACCCTTCATGCCAGAAAACCAGCAATTCAGGATAGCAACCTCACATCCACTGAGCCACCTCAGTGGACAAAAGAGAGGGCGGCCGGACACCCACCGCAAAACATACCTCCTTTGGCCACCACCCCCTGGAATCCGACAAGCAGCCTCCAGAGATACACCCGTCACCTGACAGACACCTGAAGCCACTACCCGGGAGACAGGAGAGGGATCGGGACATCCCCAGGTGATCAGATTCCATGGCAAACTACACCTCAATGGAATGGGATGGACCACGGTACCCTTCTCCCTACCTTGGAACTAGATTGCCTGTGGGAAGAATCCCAAAGGCTGAAAAGAGGAGAGGAATAGGGAAGGGATGGAGAGGAGGAGGAGGAAAGGGAAAAAGGGAAGATGGGGAGGATAGGATAGGGTAGGGGGGATTGGGGGGTAATTAGGTTCGTCTGAAGAAGCAGACCAAAAGGTCTAATTCCTCAGACCAAGAGCCTCTTCACCACACCAATGAGTCTCCTTTGAAGAGGTTTGTGGGAGAAATGGTATAGGCAACACTGTAATATAATTTACAAGAAGTGTCACAGCTGGTGCTAGAATATAGGTCAACAGCACCACTCAACAGATCATCAAATTCACCATAGTCCAAGACCAGAGACAGAGAATTTCTCAGCGGCATACAATAAAAGCAAGAGCTCTTTGTACTATACCATTTTTACAATCACAATATCTTCTAAGTTCTTTTTTATACTCTGCAAAATATTAAAACTACACATTGATCCCAGATGTGACATTTCAAATGACTACACTATGCTCCCTCCTGTAACATTCAACGACTATTTTTCACACTTATACAAATACATCAACACTACAAAACTATGATTCAGAACCAAGGGTGTCATTTATGCTCTAGTTCTACTTTGGAGTCTGCCTGGAGGGTGTTTCGGAGGTCAGTGCCTCCAAGGCCCAGTACATGACCAGGCCACATAATTAAAGAATTTGTCAGAAACGTTAAAAGACACTAACCACTAACATCACTTCTCTCCAATGAGTTTGTGCCATCAAAAATTATTTTTGAGTGAAAATCTTCTGCATACTTCATTCTTATGGATTCTCTTCTGTATGTTTTTTACTATGTAAGGCAAGATAAGATTTTGAAGTAAAGTGTTTTAAACACACTAAACACTGGTATGGCTTTTCTTTAGCATGAGTGGTCATGTGATATACTAGACCAGATTTTGACGTAAAAGCTTTTTTACATACAGAACACTGAAATACCTTTCCTTCAGTGTGAGTGTTCATGTGATATAACAGACCAGGCTTAGTAAAAAAGTCTTTTGAACACTCTGAACACTGGTAAGGTTTCTCACCTGTGTGCGTTCGCATATGTGTTACTAAAGTAGACTTATCATAAAAGTCTTTCAGACATTCTGAACACTGATATGGTTTCTTTCCTGTGTGAACTCTCATGTGTATAACTAGAGAAGAATTTTTTGAAAAGCCTTTTCGACACTCTAAACACTTATATCGTTTCTCACCTGTGTGACTTCTCATGTGTGTCAATAGATTAGATTTTTGCGAAAATACTTTTTGACACTCTGAGCATTGAAATGGTTTTTCCCCAGTGTGAATTCTCATGTGAGTTACCAGATTAGAGTTTTTTGAAAAGACTTTTACACACTTTGAGCACTGAAATGGTTTCTCTCCTGTGTGAGTTCTCATATGAATCATTAGAGAAGATTTGTCTGAAAAGCCTTTTAGACATTCTGAACATTCAAATGGTTTCTCTCCTGTGTGAATGTTCATATGATATACTAGACCAGATTTTGAAGAAAATTTTTTTAGACATGTAGAACACTGATAAGGTTTCTCCCCAGTGTGGGTCCTCATGTGTGTTGATAGATTATATTTGTCTTTAAAGTCTTTCAGACATTCCAAACACTGATATGGCTTCTCCAATGTGTGAACAGTATTCATGTGATATGCTAGACCAGATTTTGCAGTGAAGTCCTTGAGACACTCTGAACAATGAAATGGTTTTTCTCCTGTGTGAGTTCTCATATGTGTTACAAGAGTAGAATTTTTGGAGAATTTTCTTAGACACTGTGAACATTGATATGGTTTTTCTCCTGTGTGAGTTCTCATGTGAGCTAATAGACCAGATTTGTAAGAAAACTCTTTGTAGCACTCAGAACATGGGTAAGGTTTCTTTACTTTATCTACTTTCTCTGGCATTGTAGCAGTTTTTTCACTGATGTTAACATTAATATGACTCTTGGTTTGAGACTGGTCCATTGAGTCAGTGGTCCCTTGAGCCATACTATTTTCTTATTTTGACAGTTATCACCAAAACAAGTTCTCTTTAATGGAAAATGAAGATTTTTTTAATATCCACTTTTACAGGTTTCCCAAATAATTTCAATTCTGATAATTTTCTCTTTAAGGATTAATCCTAAGTATTCAAGATTTTTTTCTGTTTACAATTCTATAAGATAGTAGAAACTATTTTTGTGAAATGGTACTCTATAAATATAGAGAAATGAACTCATAATGTGAATGAAACAAAGCACGAATTCTGTATCAACAAGATGAATTATCATAAATACTCAAGACATAAACAAATGGTTTCTTTTCCCTACACTAACAGTATTCTGGTAAACAATTTATGTATAAAAGTTACTTAAAGTACTATTGACTTTACAATAATTTGTATATATTTATATACAGAATATATATATATATATATATTAAGCTTCGTAAAAATATTAAATAGAAGTTTTCAGATCATTTAAGATGCCTTTCTTGTCAAAAAAGACACTGACTTGGCAAACTGTTCATCCATTACATATTATCACTCAAGCTACTTAAATAGACTCTACAAAGTGCTAATACTCAGGCCATTCCAAAAACCAAAAATTTTTTATTTTATGCTGCAATGTTCCACTAACACCTTAATGAATTTTACTTAATAAATTTTTTTATAATATAAATGTAATACATCAGGAAAAAACAGCAGATATAAATGTAGTGTGCAAGTGAGGACACTGAGAAAAGCAAGAGATGCTGATGACACTAGCGGACTTTATAAAGTACAATGCTGATACAAGTTCTGATATACTTTCTGACACTGTTATTTAGAGCTGCCAACTCTTGTGTTTTCTTCCAGTGTGAAGCATCATCTGCAAGAGAAATAAATAAGGCATGAACTATAAGAGAACATCTTTCCATGAAAACTATTACCATATGCAATGTAATTCTTCTGGAATACATATGAGAATATACATAAAGTAAACTTGTTATAATGGATCTTGATATGATGATATTTTAAATCATGGGCAAAATCCACTGGTAAAACTGTACTTTTACCTCCTTTATTTTTCAATATTTACTGTGTGTACAGTAATAGATGTACTTTAGCACATTTTTTTTACCATTTTTAACATTACTATGATATAATGGACACACAATAACCTGGCTAACTCATTATACTGAAGATATATTGTAAGCAGATATACTCAAGCTGTCATATATAAAGCTTCCAAGGACAGATAGTGAATGAAGGACACTGAATGAAAGACAGTGAATGAAAGATAGTGAATGAAATGTGCTGAATGAACGATAGTGAATGAGAGATAGTGAACGAAACGTGCTGAATGAAAGATAGTGAATGAAAGGAACTGAATAAAAGGTGCTGAGTGAAAGGTGCTGAATGAAAATACTTAATGAATGATAAGAGAATGAAGGACACTGAATGAAAGATAGTGAACGAAAGAGGATGTGATGCACATTACTCACAACTCTCTACTGCTCAGTACTCATGTGGCATGCAAAGAGTATGTAACCTTTATTCGGCGCATGTACACACCCTCATTGAAAGGCTATCTCCCCCAACCAGCAAACCAGGTACTAAGGGTTGATGATGGGGCCCCCATCGTTCAATCAGTACCCAGGTTCCAGATAATGAGAAGATGGTTTTGGCAGTCGCAGAGGTGTTGTGGGTACCACTCACCCGTCTGCCCTTGTCATTCCCATTCTAGAGCTGGTTGAAGCACAGTCTGCTCTCTAGTGGCTTCTATGCTGCCTTGCTTACCATGGAGTACACTAATACCTATTGTTGTATATAGTGTACATATTTCTGTTCTAAACTGGTGAAGCATAATATAAGTCAAAGGTTTTTCTGCTGTGATTTTCCTCCCTTTACACCCAGGATAACAGGCCTTTGGGACTCCTGGGTTGTAATAACTCAAAACCATCTACTGCTCAGTACTCACAACCATCTACTGCTCAGTACTCACAACCATCTACTGCTCAGTACTCACAACCATCTGCTGCTCAGTACTCACAACCATCTACTGCTCAGTCTCACAACCATCTACTGCTCAGTACTCACAACCATCTACTGCTCAGTACTCACAACCATCTATTGCTCAGTACTCACAACCATCTACTGCTCAGTACTCACAACCATCTACTGCTCAGTACTCACAACCATCTCCTGCTCAGTACTCACAACCATCTACTGCTCAGTACTCACAACCATCTCCTGCTCAGTACTCACAACCATCTACTGCTCAGTACTCACAACCATCTACTGCTCAGTACTCACAACCATCTCCTGCTCAGTACTCACAACCATCTACTGCTCAGTACTCACAACCATCTCCTGCTCAGTACTCACAACCATCTACTGCTCAGTACTCACAACCATCTACTGCTCAGTACTCACAACCATCTACTGCTCAGTACTCACAACCATCTACTGCTCAGTACTCACAACCATCTACTGCTCAGTACTCACAACCATCTCCTGCTCAGTACTCACAACCATCTACTGCTCAGTCTCACAACCATCTACTGCTCAGTACTCACAACCATCTACTGCTCAGTACTCACAACCATCTACTGCTCAGTACTCACAACCATCTACTGCTCAGTACTCACAACCATCTGCTCACAACCATCTACTGCTCAGTCTCACAACCATCTACTGCTCAGTACTCACAACCATCTACTGCTCAGTACTCACAACCATCTACTGCTCAGTACTCACAACCATCTCCTGCTCAGTACTCACAACCATCTACAAGCAACTCTACATCAACACATACAAGAAACAAAGTATTAAAGAGAGGGCAAAACTCACTCTTATTACTTCTTTAAGCCTTTTATATGTTTAAATTTGATCAACAACAAGCATGACAATGACATAAGAAAAAGACATCAACAAATGTGATACAGACACATGAAAATGACACCAACAAGTGTGACAAAGAAGCATATGTGATTATCAAGACATTTCTTGAGGTTGTGTGTTGCCAGCTGAGTGCTTCTGCTCACTGAAATATATACCCAACAAACATCTTTATAAACATACATGTATTTTTCACCAGGATATTTTACTGATGTTATCAAGGTGATGCAACAAAAAAATAGATAATGAAACAATGGATATCAGATTGGAGGGAGGGAGTATGGAAGAAGTGAATGTGTTCAGATACAGTGGAACCTTGGTACTCGAATAGCTCCCTACTCGAACAATTCGGTATTCAAACACTTTGTTTGGTAAAAAAAATCGCTCGGTAGTCGACCATTTGCTCAGCACTCGACCAAACAAACATGACCTTCCAGAACTTCGCTGTAAACTATTTCGTGTTTCTTCACATTTTTTGATGTTTGGCTTACAAGATTGGTGATAACAGGCAACCATAAAGAAAATTGGTTGGGAAAAATTCATTTGGTACTCATATAAACTGGCACTCAAACAGCCTTCTGGAATGAATTAAGTTAGAGAAGTGAGGTACCACTGTATTTGGGAGTGGACTGTCAGCATATGGGTCTATGAAAGACGAGGTGAATCATAGAATTGATAAAGGGAAAAAGGTGAGTGGTGCATTGAGGAGTGTATGGAGACACAGAATGTTATCCACGGAAGCAAAGAGGAAAATGTATGAGAGTATAGTGGTACCAACTCTCTCTTATATGGGTGTGAAGCACGGGTGGTGAATGTTGCAAGAAGAAGGCTAGAGGAAGTGGAGAGGTTGTGTCTGAGGCCAATATGTGGTGTGAATATTATGTAGGGAATCCATAGTTTGAAGAGTAGAAGGAGGTGCAGAGTTTCTAAAAGTATTATTCAGAGGGCTGAGGAGGGGTTGCTGAGGTGGTTTGTACATTTAGAAAGGATGGAGCAAAAGAGAATGTGAGGGAATTTAAATATGTAGTGGAGGGAAGGCAGCTTAGGGGTTATCCATCCTAGGAAAGATTAGAGAGAGAAGGGGGAAGTAAAGGTGGTTTGGTGTATGAGGGGCTTAGACTTCCTGCAAGCATGCAAGAGCATGTTACACAGGAGTAAGTGAAAGGAATTCTTTTTCAAAAGAGGCCAGTTTCATCACAATTAAAAACTTGAGGAATATTATTATTATTATAATAAAAAAGAAGCACTAAGCCACAAGGGCTATACAGCGCTGCAGGGTAGGGAAGGAAGCGAGGGTATTGGGTGGCAGAAGGGGAGGGGGATGATCAGTAGGTTACAGAAAACAGCGGGGCAGGGGATAGTGCGGGGGTAGAGGGTAGCAAGAGATTGAGGTAGAAAGGGCTGGAGGAATCAGAGTCTGTGAAGTAAGTCAGTTGTTGTCAAAAAGTCAATGAGAGAGTCCGTATGAAAGGTGGCTCCATCAGCAAGAAGGGAAGGTAAAGAGAGAGCAGCAGAGCGAAGATGACGACGGAGGCAAATTCTGCGTGCTCGTTGATAAAGTGGGCAGTCCAACAGAATGTGGCTGACTGATAATGGAGCCTGGCAATTCTCACAGAGAGGAGCAAGGCGCCTCTCCATGAGATATCCATGAGAAAGACGAGTATGGCCAATGCGAAGATGGGAGAGAGTAGTCTCCCAACCTCGACACTGTTGACAAGTAGACGGCCAGTAACCTATACTCGGTTTAATAGACTGAAGTTTGTTACCGAGCATAGTAGACCAACAGGTGTGAAAGTGGGTAGCTATTGCAGCAAAGAAGTCCGTAAATGGAATACCTCTATATGAAACTGGTAGGTCATGTACTGCTGACTGCGAAGCAGTGTCTGCCTGTTCATTGCCCTGTACGTCAACATGACCAGGGACCCAACAAAAAACAACATCTTCATGCTTGGTAAAGATGCGGCGTAGTCAAAGTTGGATACGGAGGACTATGGGGTGAGGTGAATCAAATTTCTGTATAGCCTGTAAAGCACTAAGGGAGTCTGAGACAACCACAAATGATGACACAGGCATGGATGCAATACAGATAAGTGCTGCAAGAATGGCATACAATTCAGCACTAAAAATACTACCTGAAGATAGTAAATGCCCTCGTATGATGCTGTCCGGAAACACTGTTGCGAATCCTACACTGTCAGAAGACTTAGAGCCATCTGTGTACAGAGCAATGGCATGAGAGTGATAGTGGAAGTGGTCAAGAAAAAGAGAGCGGGAAGCAACCATAGACAGTTGGGCTTTTGAGCAAGGGAGAGAGAAAGAACAGACTCGAACAGCTGGAACTTCCCAGGGGGGGGGGGGGTAGGGAAAAGTGAGATGCTACATGAACATAGAAAGGTGGAAATTGAAGAGAAGACAAGAGCGAATGAAGGCGAAGAGAGAAGGGACGGAGTAAACAGGGGCTGCGAACAAATAAAGAATGTCTACTAATATCAGTGACTATTCTATAAATGGAAGGATTGCGGAGATCATGAGAGCGTACATAGTAGCGAAGGCAATGAGCATCACGGCGATCGCATAAGAATGGAACGTTCGCTTCTGCATAGAGGCTCTTAACAGGGGAAGAGCGAAAAGCACCAAGGCATAAACGTAATCCTTGGTGATGAATGGAGTTAAGGCTAGAGAGAGTAGCACGAGAGGCCGGTGAATAGATCTGGTCATCATAATCGAGTTTCGATAAAATGAGGGTGGAATGTAGGCGAAGGAGAGTTCGACGATCAGCTCCCCAAGAAAGATGAGCAAGGATTTTAAGAAGGTTCAGCCGGCTGTGAAAAGTTGCCTTCAGAGAGGTAATGTGAGGTTTCCAGGATAACCTATGGTCAAAGAGGAGGCCCAGAAACCTGACTGTATCACGTTCAGGGATACGGGAGCCAAAGAGGTACAAAGGATGATCGGAGATGACAGAGCGTCTAGTGAAAGTAATTTGGTGAG